ATTTGTTCCGAACAATGTTTCTGAAGATCGGAAATGTTTGATATCTCGAACATTGTTCGTCGAATGTTCGTCAATGTGCGCTGAATGTCGAACAATTCTAGGAACATTTGTAAAGTAGTAACCAATAGCAGCACGAAATGTGGTCACATGATTTTTGTGCCCAATCATGCGGCGATCACGTGACTCTTTACAACACAGCTACTAGACGACGCCACACGGTTGTTCGCTGCAAAATGTTCAGCAATGTGCGCTCAGCAATTGTCCACCCGCACATTGCCAGACAAAAACATTTGTTCGGACGAACATTTGTTCGGGAAAATGTTCGGCAATGTGCGCCAGGCTTAAGTGTGAATAATGATCAGCGAGGAAAACCGCTCTTTAGGATACTCTCCACCTTTTGAACAGGTATTGCTCTAGTGAAGATTAAACGTTTATTGGCGAATGAATCGAATCAATCATTTGTTTTATTTATAGAGGAGATATATCTCTATGCTCAAGCCAAAAAAATTCATGAAATTTGCAGCACCTAATTATGTTACCACACAAATTTTGAATTTTTATGTAAAAATGGTATTTTGGATATTTCTCAACTACCAAAAAGAGTGAGGATACAAAATTGTTGCCACATGTTAAGCACAATATGGACCAAAATAGTGCGTCTGGATTTTTCTTTAATTTTCATATTTACCGAGAAAACTGGAAAAAACTGCTTAAAAATCAAGTTGTGTGTTAGAATTGAAAATTTTAGCGAATAAAGAGGCATAACTAATAAAATACGGCACTTAATAACAATCCCTGACGCACTTCTTTACAGCAATGTGTTACCATTAAAACGAGTGTAAAATTAAATCAATCCGAGTTGTAATCACAGAGAAATATCCATTTATACATCGGCTACATGTCAGAAATCGAAACGGTGAAATCATCATTTTTCTATTTTTCACAATGAGTGACCGCCTGTGTGAAAAATGGGTGAACGTATGTGAAATATCTACTGTTAGTACTTACTGCGACATATCCATGACTAAGTTAACTGACACCACTAAATTGGTAAAATGTTCCATGCACCTTGAGAAATTCTGAGAAATTACGAGGTTACCATCACAGAACGCGCGAACTTTGCTCATCCTGACGTCACAAAGCTAATATGTCAACAAACGCGCGCCTTGTACCACACTACAGTAAGGTGTGTTGCGAGGTGTTAGAACTATTTTGGGCGTGGGATACTTGTTGGATCACTAGCAGATGTACATGAATGTACATGAATACATGTAATGACAGCTGTAGCAGGGTTGACGCTGAATGATACTGGCTTAGTGAATATCGTGGTTGTATCATGTCTCTGACACTTCAGGCGCTGCTTACTACACATGTACGCGTACAATCAAAACGCTCTGACAGTTCACATGTACCGTTATATGAAGAAATGAGCATGTACGAAGGTGGCACATAGTGTTAGCCATCGAATAAAATTGAAAATGAAAAATCGGTAAAGTTTTGCCTAAAACCTTGAGAGTATCCTTAATCAGGTTTTCTACAGCAGCTGGAATTCGCTATGACCCACATGGGTCTTGCAGTACTTCTGCAGCCGTGACGACTTGCCACTACTTTTGACGCATTTTACTCAGTGTTTTAAGCAAATCTGATGGTCACTTGTTTTTCCTGTGTAGATGTGCAGACGATAGACTCGACGCAGGCGATGTTCCTGCCAGTGGGCGCGTCCGTCTCCTTACTGGTCATGTTCTTCTTCTTCGACTCTATGCAGACAGTCTTTGCAACGTGTACAGCGTGTAAGTACAGTAAGCTACCTATAAACATGTACAGCGTGTAAGTACAGTAAGCTACCTATAAACATGTACAGTGTGTAAGTACAGTAAGCTACCTATAAACGTGTACAGCGTGTAAGTACAGTAAGCTACCTATAAACATGTACAGCGTGTAAGTACAGTAAGTACATAAACCACTGCTACAGCGCGTAAGTACAGTAAGCTACCCATAAATAAAACATGATACAGGTGTGTAAGTACAGTAAGCTACCTATAAAACGTGTTAACAGCGGTGTATGTAAGTGTAAAGTAAAGCTACCTATAAACGTGTTACAGCTGGTAAGTACAGTAAAGCTACTATAACGGTAGGGGAGTGTGTAAGTACATAAGCTGAGCCTAAAACATGACAGTGTGTAAGTACAGTAAGCTACCTATAGAACATGTACAGTTGTGTAAGCTACCAGTAGGCTACTATAAAACATGTACAGCTGTGTAAGTACAGTAGGCTACTATAAACGTGTACAGTGTGATAAGTTACACGTAAGCTACCTATACAACGTGTACAGCGTGTAAGTACAGGAAGCTACCTATAACACGGTACAGCGTTGTAAGTACAGTAGGCTAACCTATAAACGATGGTACAGCGTTTAAGACCAGTAAGCTACTAATAAACGTGATAAGCGCTGTAAGCTACAGTAAAGCATCACCTATAAAACCATGTACAGCGTGTAAGCTAACAGTAAGCGTACCTATAAACGTGTACAGTGTCGGTAAGTACAGTAAGCTACCTCATAACGTGACAGTGATGTAAGTACAGTCACTTTTTTGCTAATTAACAACATTACAGCGTTGTAAGTACAGCTAAGCCTACCTAATAAACGTGTGACAGTGTAGTAAGGTACAGGTAAAGCTACCTATAACGTGTAGGGAATGTGTAAGTACAGTAGGGCCTACCTATAAACAATGTACAGCGTGTAAGTACAGGTAAAGCTACCTATAACGTGACGTACAGTTGGTATACAGCTACAGATTAAGCTAGCTATGAAACCATGCTTACAGTGTCGTAAGTACAGTAACGCTACTAATAAAACATGTACAGTGTGTAAGTACAGTAGGCCCTACTATTAAACGTGTAGAGTGTGTGAAGTAACCAGTAAGCTACCTATAAACATGTACAGCGTGTACAGTACAGTAAGCCTACCTATCAAAGATTTACGTGTGTAAGTACAAGTAAGCCCTACCTATAAACCGTGTACGTGTGATAAGTACAGTAACGCTACACTATAAACAATGTACAGCATGTAAGCTACAGAGTAAAGCTCCTATAAACATGTTACAGTTGTAAGTACAGTAAAGCTTACCTATAAACGTGTACAGCGTGTAAGTACAGTAGCTACTTAGAAACGTCATGTAGCATCTGGTAAGTTTGACAGTAAGCTCTTATAAACATGTAACACGCGCAATTAGCCTACAGTAAGCTACTTTAAATATGTTACAGCATGTAAGTTCCAGTAAGATACTCCTAATATGTACAGCACATAGTACAGTGTGTAAGCTACCTAAAAATTGCACTGCACAAACTACCTAGAAAACCTCTAAAGTTTGTGAAGGGACGAAGTGCTGGAAGCAAATAAAAAAATGTCTACCTATGTAAGCTATATATATGCAAACGTAGCACGCGTAGTATCTGCTCTGATCTTGAACATGTTTCTTTGTGCACATACTTACTTCCTGGTCGTAAATGTGATGAGTGTTTAATCAACTTTTTTATCTAACTAGCAGCCCGTTCAACGCAGTAGTTGCAACGGTTTGCTTCACATCGCTTACTAGCGGTTCTGACTTGCATCTCTCCGTGTTGCAGTGATTGCTACGGTGGCGTTTGCGTTTCTACTTCTGCCCATGTGTCAGTTTCTGATACGTCCTTGCTCGATGGCACAAAAGTAAGTACAGCTTGGGTTATGCTGCCGTCCTCTTCCCTCCCTTTCCCCCTCACCCCTCTCCCTCTTCTCCCCCCTCTCTCTCCCCTCTCTCCCAATTTATTCCTTCTCCTCCACCTCCCCCGTGTGGGGAGGGAGGGGAGGGAGGAGGGGAGAGGCACGGGCTCTAGGATATGCTATTTAGCACGATTGCAGCGGCGTGCGGGGGAAGAGATGGGGTTACACATACTACACATACACACATACTGTCCCTCCATCACCTCATTTTCAGGTTGGGTTACACTATGACCTTGTGTCTATGACTCTGTATGTGTGATGTGTGTATGTGACTCTGTGTCCTTGTTTGTGACATGCTACATGACATATTTAGGTTGGGACATGCTATGACATTATTTAGGTTAGGACATGCTATGACATTATTTAGGTTGGGCATGCCTATGACATTTATTTTAGGTTAGGACATGCTATGACACTTATTTTAGGTTAGGACATGCTATGACATTATTAGGTTGGGACATGCTATGACATTATTTAGGTTAGGACATGCTATGACATTATTTAGGTTAGGACATGCTATGACATTATTTAGGTTAGGACATGCTATGACATTATTTAGGTTAGGACAATGCTATGACATTATTTTAGGTATCATGAACATGCTATGACATTATTTAAGGTTAGGACATCGCTATCGACATTATTAGGTATAGGACATGCTATATGCATTATTAGCGTTAGGACAGCTATGACATTATTTAGGTTAGACATTGCTACTATGACATTATTTAGGTTTTTACCTGATAATGAGTCCACCCCTCACCTGTAGGTTTGGAGTGGATCGAAGGGTAGGAAGTCTTGTATAAATGTAGTGTCGAATATATATAGTACGTAGACAGTAGACGTAACAGTTGTATAAACGGTGACAAAAGTTCTACAGTTTTATTATAAACACGGATAAACAGTACAGTCAAAACAGTGTGCACGTACCGGTTAGAGGTTGCCGTCGTCCCCCTGCTCCCGTTTTCTACCAAAAGCCGTCCCTCCTTTAAACTGTTCGCATCCTCGTCCGACCTGTTAGACTTGAACTAATTTATGCGCGCGGTGTGGACTATTATGGACCCGCGTCGCGGGACTAATGCCCCGATTTGTACCCTCTTAGTCGATGCACGCGCAGGAAGTGAACATTTGAGGCGTATGGCCAGGGGTACTGTTGTATCCGATTTGTAAAGAGATTCTTGTCAATGGTCAATTACCTTGCGTAGCGATACGACGCCTTCATGCTTTCATGCTATGAACCCCTTGTTACTGTTCTGTGTTAGTTGAATTAGAATATGGGAGCCATTATGTCAGCTCTGCGCAGCCAGGTGTTAAAGCCGCGTTAAACAGCATAGCTCTTATGGAAAAAATGTAAAACGTCCATTCACGAGATGCATTGTTATTACAGGGGGTTAATAACTGACAAATTTGTCATTATTACCCCTGTGCTTTATCAAGATTTGAATACATGTGTCATGTTTTTAGCTCATCTGACCGTAGTCAGAATGCAGCTCCTGTTAGGATCGGCATGAATCGGTCGCGTGCGTCCTCTCGGCCGTCCCGTCCGTGCCGTGCGTCAACAGTCGCGCACAAAGCTAACCGCAGAGGTACGCGTTCACGATATTCGGGACGTGGGGGGCTAAATACCGGAAAACGCAGTTTTGGGACTGTCGAAGCCTGGGGAGTCAAAGGTCAAAGGTTCAAGAGCCGTTAAAAAGAAGGTCAAGAGGGGTGGGTAAAAGAAGGAACTTCTCTCCTAACTTACAGGTATAGGAAGAAATGCGAATATGCGGCAGAAATCAAATGGCCTCGACCCTAGGCTCCAGTCGATAGTCGGTTGTATAGCAATCATGGTAGGAAAACCGAATCACTGTTGCGAATTGGAGGTCAAGCGTCAAAAGTATCAATGGCGCCACAGGGCAGATTTTAGACATTTTCTGAGGACATGGTCTTGACGGAGCATTGAAAACTTTTTGTTTCAGCTTGTGACCCTCCATTTTTATGCTTTATTGAAAGACCATGAATGTGGCTTTCCACTGACGTGCGAGAGAAGTAAGTACTCTGCATAACCTTTTGACCCCTAAGAGCCAGGCGTTACAATGGACATTTGGTTGAACTGTTAACCAAAGCGACTTGAACTGTGTATTGAGGTACTTGTAGTGATACGTAGGGCAAGACATTTAAATTTCCACCAGTCGAACATTCTGATTTGGCAAAACTTACTTTGCAACAACCCGTTTTCACCGCGCCCCTTTAATCATATATGAACTTCATTCTCTATATGAGATTCTGTACGTTGGGAATACAATGTCAATAGCACTTACGCAAACGTCTGTTTTTTTTATAGTTGGCCTTAATCTAGGCCTACCTCGCAGGTGGGTGGCTGATAGTATCACAGCATGGGTTAAACGAAGGTAGCAACTTACGTAGACTGGTACCCGGTCCCACCTCTCGGCTTAGTTACTCGATGGGGCGAGTAATCGAGGTGGGAGCGAGTACCAGTCTACGTTTAGCCCATGCTGTGATACTATCAGCCATGCTATCAGCCATACGTACGATGCAGTATGCACGCCATCTATCGGAACAGAGTGAGAAGAATGTCCCGGCAGGATAGGTCAAATGTATATTGCGCTCAAAAGTGCAGAAAGAATTACTTTCTTAACTTCAGTTTAATCAATCTTGAGATAATTAATTGCAGAATTGACCATTCAATTGGTAATTGTCAAACCTACCAATGAAAATTTGCCAGTTTTGTACTGTCCTTGGCATGGCTCTCTCCGTCGACGTTACAGTAGTGTGCAATGTCGGGATATGGTGGAGCATGCTGGCTTGTGGACGCTGCAGAGCCCGATGGTTGACTGTCAGTCGAAATGTGTTGATCCTCCCCGACATTGAAGAAATCTGTACGTTATACGTGCGTCTGTCTTACCTCTGCCCGTCATCTTCGTCGAAAGTTTGGACGCCGCGCGGCGAAATCATAATGTACATTTCAATCGATGACGTAACTGATACAGTAGCGCGCCGCGTGGGTGTTATTTGTTGATAAACAATTTAGTCTGACTGCATACTCTCTCCCTCTCTCTCCTCTCGCTCGCTCTCTCTCTTTCTCTTTCTCGCCCCCCTCTCTCTCTTCCTCTCTCTCGCTCTTTCTCTCTGCAATAAAAAAATTGTTTGCTGAAATGATGTGTACGCCTGCACCTAACAAAGGTGTCACTACGCACGACTGAAATGTTACGTTTATAACCGTAGCAACAGACCTCAGATGAGCCCAGTCGCTCTGCGGCACTTGTGTTCTATAAATAGAACGCTGTTACCCACCCGGAACTGACCCAGCAAAGCGGAAATTTATTGGCAGACAGTTTTTCATCTGTCAGCCTGTGCCCTGCAGCATATGTATAATATATTAGAGCATATCTCTGCATGCAGTGTGCCTACTGTAACATTATTATATGACAACTCGGTGTATATAAAATAATTTATGATGACTTTATATCCTTTAATATTATCGAATTAAGTTTATTTGGGTTCACTTCTGGTGTCTTTGCCAAACCGAATGAAGTTGACAAAGATAGCTGTACTGGCCATTGAAATTGTTGTTAACAATATATAATAAGATAATTAAATATATATATAATATATATAGATATAATATAATATATATTAATGTAATATAATAATATAATTAACTATATAATAATTCATACTTGGATTTTTTGTAAAATATAATTGTTCTTGTCTTTAATAATGTTGCTGCTGTGGTTGTTGGCGTTGTGGGTAATGGATAACGGTGTTATTTAATTAATCAATCTAATGTTAATTATGATTGATGCCCTAATTTGTTGCCAATTTTGCAGGATGTCATTCGGATGCTGCGGGAGATTCACAGCCGCTGAGATCGTTAGCTTCTGCGTGTCGTTTGTGATCGTCTGTCTCTGGGTGATGACTGGTCACTGGCTCCTCATGGATGGTGTGTGACACTGTTCACTCTCTCTGCTGGCTATTCAATAACACCAGATGGCCATCCCAACACGTATACACGTACATGCAGAATGGCGTGCGCGCACACATACGTACACTTAACACGCGTTTGCACTCACGGAAACATGCACGAATGCATCATACATGAGAATTTTCCGCGGATCCGCAGATTTCCACTTTTTAAATTATTTTTCCAAGCATAATGAGAAATTGCTTAATTCGTGTAGATCCGTTGAGAACGAAGTGGAGGGGGGGGAGGTAGGTTCAGGTTATTCAATAATTGACAATCTGTACCGGTGCATCGTAAAAGCATTCAAATACCGGACGATCAGAAGTAATCTCTGAAAAATATTGCTACTACCCCTGTAATCTGGACTTAGACTGTTCCACTTGGTCGATCTTGCGATGGTAAATCTCTTTTCATTCGTCAATTTCCAGATGTTAATGCTCCAATCGTTGTCCATAAAAAATCCATTCTCAGGTACTCTCAGAATGCACCAGTCTAGCTTTAAAATTGTAAAATTTTCTACGAGAGGGGAGGGGCACATTATGTTCACTATGTGGGATACTAATATCCATTTGGAATACCAGAAACATAGAAGCTAGTAATCCACTTGGATACAAGATGAAGCTTCTCATTTTGGGTCCTATAACTGGAAGAAATTTTAGAAAATTAAATGGGGTTTTATATGAAAGCTCAGGATTTCTCTCCTGCGTTCATTTCTTTCAAAATTTTCCCGGGGAGGCCCACGTACCCGCTCTCAGTGTGAGGCTCGGTCCTGCAGCGCTCACTAGGCATGGATACCGAACTGACAAATATTTGAATCACACACTTGTTTGGTCATTCACTGTTCTCATGTATGAGGCATGCCTGCACGCACGTGCACACACACGCACGCACACACACACGCCTGCATACGTGCATGCACTCACACGTACATATGCACGTATGCACCCTGCCACATTTATCCACACGCACTGGGAAGTACGTAAGCACACGTGCACACATGATTGCACCTGGACAAAACATACATACATACACATCCTATATGCAATACGGATGCTTAAATGTTAAAAATAATTTTATTGTGTGAAATCGGTTAATAACCAGTTTACTGTTGATCTGGTACGTCAAAACGTGGCATGGGTGGATACGTGAAAAATGATAATGTGCATGTTTGACTCATGGGTACAGTCTGTGAAACGAGGTGTGGGTGTATTATTATGATTAGGCGTGGATCATAATAAATCGCGGAGAGCTCAATTAAGCATTCTGCTCGTGGGATTATCTGCGACATATTGTGCGTGTATCTCCTTGCTGGGCATGGGGTGTCTGTAAAGCCTAATCCGTGCATTTACGTGCTGATCGCGGAAGCATTGTAAGACGTGGTGCGTGTGTCGCGTGGTTGTTTGTGTAAATCGTGATGTGTGCGTATTTCAGCGCTAGGCATGGGCCTATGTGTTGCCTTCATCGCATTCGTGCGTCTTCCAAGTCTGAAGGTGTCCACTCTGCTGCTGACCGGTCTGCTCATATACGATGTCTTCTGGGTAGGTTCCCATCGGCTTGCCTCGACTAGCACTAGAAATCCGTCGCGATATATGGTCGAACATGTTTGATAAGACACGGTTAAAACACGTCGATAGAACGAGCGCTTGTCTCTGGAGGAAACTTTGGCGTTACGCTCGAGCGGCAGTCGTACAGCGAAACCACCGGTCGGTCACCTGTCTATAAAGGACACTTGGTATTTCTCTTGAGTGACAGTCGTACAGTGAAACTATCGTCTACAGAACGCAGACTCCTTTCTGTTAAGTGCGCTTTTTTGGGTTCCCCGAAGTGACCCTTATATGGAGGTTTGACTGTCCTATCATTGTTAGAGCATGAAACAGGCAGGTTAGACCCGTACACCACCACTATAGCAGACCTGCAGACACCATCACTGCAGACTCCATGCATCCAGGCATTATACCCACAGACATCCCTGCAGACACCGTACCTGCAGACACCATCCTTGCAGACACCGTATATCCAGACACCATCCCTGCCGACACCGTATATCCAGACACCATCCCTGCAGACACCGTATATCCAGACACCATCCCTGCAGACACCGTATATCCAGACACCATCCCTGCAGACACCGTATATCCAGACACCATCCCTGCAGACACCGTATATCCCACCACGGCAGCTGCACACGCACATCACACATGGCCGCACGCACGCACGCACGCACACACGCACGCCACACACACTCGCCGCACGCACCATACACACGCCAGACG